GTTTCGATTCATATACGGTTAATTATCATTTGTAATAAAATCGTTTACTAATATTCCAAAATTCGAAAAGGAACGTATTTTCTGGCTATAATTATAAAATTACATCCTTTTCCTCAGTACTTTGGCGTCAGTCCGTTGTCCGTTAATACTCCAGCGGACTGACATATTTTCCAGAGTACTGACAGATTTTGTGTTTTTCTGCTTTTAAGTTAAACAATACCACGTTTAAAGTCTTTTTTTACTTATTTCAGTTCAAACATCATGCCGCCTCCTAAAAAAAAATTATCTAGGGAAGAGATATTACAAAATAAACGAGAAGCCGAAAAGGCTCGATTAACAAAGATTAAAAGCGACCCTATCAAATTGGCTGAATATAAAGAAAAACAAAGGCTACACTATCTAAAAAAAAGGAGAAAGGACAAAAAAAAAATTTTTGATAAAATGACGCCTCGAGAGCAACGAGCAACCAGAAAGAAATGGAAAGAATATTCCTCGAAATACAGGCAAAAGAAACACCGCTTAAAGGAAACTATTAATAATTTTATACGCAAAAATACCCCTGTAACTATTGACGATGAAATGCAACCAATTGTAGTACCAGTTCCGCAAGTATTTCGAGAAGACAAAAGAGTGAAAGAAGCAAAAAAAAAGAAACGAAAGAAGGAGAAAATCCAGAAACAAGCAATTAAAGAAGATGGCAGCTGTAGTTTCAGAACTCAAAACTAAACTGAATACTCAGCGTCAAAAATATAAACGAGTTAAAAAAGAGTTGAAGAAAGTTGTTAAATCTGTTGAAAAAACGCCAAAACCCAGAATTGAAGAGATGAGTGAAGATATAACTCAAAAGAAGGAATTGGTGAAGAAGGCCCTTTTAGGCGAGGTTATTAAAATTCAGTTAGAAGAAAACTACACTTAAATAAGAAGTCACAAAGAAAAAAGGAACTTTAAAAACGCCATATCCGGAAGATTTGCCGACAAATACAAACTATGGACTACAAAAAATAAAGCAATTTTAACTAAGAAAAAAAACAAGACAAAATCTAACGAAAAAAAAGATGACGGTAGAAAAAATTAAAATACAAAGTTTAGTTAGGCAATTTTTAGAAGATGATTCTAACAGCCGCCAAGCAGCAGGTAAGAAAGAATTTGTGACTCGAAAACAGGTAAAAAAACAGAATAGATATCTGCTGGATAATATGAAAAATCTGCATGAGAAGTTTTTGAAAACCGTTCTATTAAAAATTAGTTACTCGCTATTTACTCGACTTCGACCTTTTTGGGTCTCCTACATTATCAAATCGCGATACCTGTGCTTGCACAACTCATGAAAATATAGATCTTCGACTTGCTGCTCTAAAAAAGGCAAATATTCTTGCGACAGTAAATAATTATCAGAGCTTGCTGAAAACGCTTTGTTGCGATCGATATTCAGAGAAATGCCTGGAGAGAACATGTAACGAGTAGTGCTCAAAAACGTTAAATTACGAAGATTACGACGAGTCAAAACTGATCTTGCTGAAACAGTGGGTGAGTAAGAAAGTATCTATAATTGATTTAAAGACGAAGAAAGAATGATTTGTGACGAAACATAAAAAAGAACAACAGGAAATATTACCCACAAATCTCATTGCAAAACTTGAAAAGGATTTACACATTTTTTTCCGACATGAATTTTACATAGTACACCAGCATAATTCGTTTAAAAAACTGAAAGAGTGCTTGTCAGAGAACGACGCCATAGTACATATGGACTTTTCAGAAAATTTTTGCACTAAATATAACCAGGAAATTCAATCTTTCCATTTTGGCGGTTCACGCACCCAAATTTCATTACATACTGTTGTCGTTTACCTAAAAGAATCTGTCATTTCACATTGCACGATGTCATTCAATCTGTCTCACAACGTCGGAGCAATTCGGGCTCATCTCAAACCTATTCTGGAATCACTACCATCAAATATTGAAAACATCCACTTTCTCAGTGATGGTCCTGTGACTCAATACAGGAACAAATATATGTTCTATGTGTTGGCCTGTAAACTGCAAGACATGATCCCTAATATTATAAAAATATTCCTGGAACTTTCATGAGGCTGAGCACGGAAAAGGGGCACCAGATGGTTTGGGTGCCACTTGTAAACGAACAGCAGACCAAGTGATTGCTACTGGAGGTGATATTACTAACTTAAAAGATTTTGCAACTGTCATTCGTGAGAGATGTCCAGGTATAAAAGTGGATGTGATTGAAGGCTGTGAGATTGAGCAGATGAACACTTTCATTACCGAGAAACCATCTGAAATCGTCGCTTTTAAGGGGACACTATTGGTACATCAGGTCACAGGCACAGCTTATCGCTCTAACCATAACCACGAAGTCACTAAGTTGTTTCTGCAGCCCAGATGGATGTGATCATTACAAGCTCGGATCTATTCTTTATCAGACAAAGTTTCCAGGTACAGAAGGTACGCGTCTAAACACTTCCACGGTGTTCAAAGACTCCACTGAAGATGATAATGTACCACTGTCCACTTACGCGAAAGACAAAATAACCATCCTAAGAGAGAGAGAATAAGAAGACTATTTATTATTGATTAAGAAAATGGATCTCATTTTAATTATTTTAAAGTAATAATTTCATGTTACAGTTGAGTGTTGTTTTTTTAGAAAATGTATAATTGTTAAGTGAAACTACCTCAAAGCGATTTAATTTTGATTAATATTAAGGTACTAAAAAAATTCAAGGCTGATTTAATTACTCAAAAAGTTCCGTCAGTATTAATAGAAAAAAAAGTGATTTTTTTAATACTTTCCTATAAGTATAAATGTTAAAAGAACATGTGATATAATTACATTCTAAGAGAATTGTTCCAATGATTAATAAATGACTGATTATTCTTATGAAATTGTGTATTTGTCAGTATTCTATTGTTCTCATCAGTCCTCTGGAAGCAAAATTCAGAAAATTTGTAATAATTTAAAAACTATTTCATAAAGTGACTGGCCTGTTTGAAGACAACATATTTATAAGATTACCTATCATAACTACCCAAATTCGTAATAATTAGAAATAGAAACTCATGTAAACATAATATCCTTAATATTTGCCCTACTTTTGTAGAACCACCCATATATAACTACATATATTTACCTATACCTACTAATAAACTAAAATAAATAATAATAATGTGTAAATCCCAACACATACCAAATCGACCAAAATTCAAAACATGCATGTTCGCACCATTAAAAAATTAAAGAAATTGTAATGGTGCGAACATACCAAATTTGGCTTGCATTGGCTGTATTACTTGATTCCTGCGTCAAGTCATCAACAACACAAAAAAATGATGTGTTACTCTCTGGTTGAATATATACTCTATATGTCTATGGTGGCGTCGCTTCCGCTTGTTTTTGAATCGTTTTACATTTAGAAGTGAATAACCCTAGTTTAAGACGCTAGTTTAGAAGACCCACAATCAATCAACTCGTGCTATGCAACAGAGTGGCAAGAGCATAAAATAACTTAGGATCCATAGGAGTTTCAAAATTACGATTTCATTGAAAATTAAGACTGTGACAGCGAAAGACGCTATGAGGAATCAATCTCAAACCACTCTAAAATGTTTAGTGCGAACCATTGATGTGACTAGCTACATTAACAAACGGAAACTGATGCATCTTAAAATTCCTTAATGTTTTTAGGTCACGTAGTGAAGGCTAGATCGTTCCAACACCGCGATGCTGCAAATCTAAAAGAACCCCGAAAAGCTGCAATGCGATACTTAGGCGTAGAAAAAATACTACACACTACACATTCTTCTCGGATATCTCCTGTTGTGGATCACAAGTAAATTTTTCATATAAATAAGACGACTTTCCAGTTTAAATTATGCCAAATAGTAGTGAAGCAAGATGGTATTGCAGCGGTGCCTCCATTCTAAGCATTTTAGCATCATTCAAGAATGTCGTCACATGAGTTTTGGGTGGGATATGAAAACCGAAACGTGCGCAAGCATATTGTACCCTTTGAACAAGCATAACTGTCTTCGCCATCAGACATGAACCGTATAGTGTCACCATAACTTGTTTAATCAAGGATTCAGAATATTTAAGTGTAATTCTAAGTTGCATGCTTAAGAAAGGTCTCACTTTATACAATAATTTAAGCCGATATGGACAATTCCGAACACAATCAGTTAAGTGGCTTTCAAAATTCAAATGACCGTCGAGAACCAGACCCATGTACCAATCAACCCTACGAGCTGTTGTCTGTCTCTTTGTCAGATAACTCTGAAACCATCCCACTTTATTTCGATCGGCTCCATAGTATGCTAACTTTGACAACAGCAGGGTGCGATTTATTGTGTCGAAGGCACGTATGAAATCCAGCAAGAAAAGTGGGCTGATATTACCCTGATCCTGAGCAGCCAGAATATTGTCTACTACATCAGACAATAGATGTGCTATGAGCACGACGAAAGCCTGACTGGGAAGTGGGAGAATATCATTGTTTTCTAGGTAACTCGTGTATTGATCAAATACTACCCCTTCCAACACTTTCGATAGGCATGGCAAAATATCGATGTTGATGTTATGAAAGGGTGAAAGAAAATTAATCATGAGTTGGAGTCGCATTAGGGTGTGCTGGCCGAAACGGAGGTGCTTGATGGTGGCGAAACATTTTTTTAAGCTATTAAAAGTACATACGTAGATGAAATAAAAAACTTAGAAAATGAATTTGCAATATGAACAAAACAGCGCCTGAATCAAAAGCTAAAGTTTGCCGGGATAACCTGTGGGGTGTCTGCAAAAAACATGGATTTCGTCATGATTGTACAATGGAGGAAATGAAATCCATAATAGTAATTTGTCACGATTATCAAAACAGAATTGGTTATACATTGCCTAACTGTACATATCTTTACACTTCAAGAGAGGAAGAAAAACTTTTTCGTGAGGCCGACGAACTCCACGTGTGCTACGGGACAGGCACGTAGTCATGAATGCCACTGCAGCGGCTTCTACTAACACTATGGAGAATGTTCCGCCAATATTTATAACACAGACAGCACCACCACCACCTCCACCGTTGGTGACGGTACCGCCACTTTTGCCGCTCTTACAATCTATACCCACAGTAATGCCACCATCACCACCTCGCCTACCAACAGAAACGTTTGTACCAACACTAGCTGCTCCAGCAGTGTACACAGCACCACCAGCACAACAAGCAAATTCAGTTCAGAATCAACCACCTCGACCCTCATTTGATGCAAGTAAATGACCACCAAAACTAGGAAATGGTGGTAAAAGATTATATAGTGACAGTTGTGAAGTTGGGCCAAGCAAGTTAAGGAAAGTAGATGATCCGCAACTAGCTGACAATATGTGCGAAAAATATGTACAATAAGAGCTGAGTAACTCTACTAAGAAGAATAAAAAAAAAATATATGCAGAAGGAATACAAAAAGTTTTTCTATTAAAACAAATCTGAAGAGAATGAGAACTTGAAAGCGATTATAAGGTTATGTTTTCCGAGCGAAATAGGTTTAGCAGTTGAAGAATATGTTGACGTACCCGTGCAACTAAGGATGTATACATTATTACAGGACAGATTGTCCAATACTGGACATGTGATGGATTCTATCCAGTCATCATCAATGAGCGATATCTTACTCGAGTATACACTCAACACGAATTCAACAACAGAAAGGCTTTTGTCATCGGAAGCTCGACTGAATCCTCTCTTATGATCAGATATTGATATGTCAAGAAGTAGTACATCAAGCCTACAAACATCAACAAATGGCTTAAATCGTCTTTGTCTGTTCATCATCGCGCTCAAGCATATCTGAGCCATGGCGTATCTTCAACGAATGTAGCATCGACACCGACTGCTCCGGCGTCGTATCCAACGTATCAACTAGGGATGCCACGAATAGTGATTGTCCAATACTGGAAATGTGATGGATTCTATCCAGTCATCATCCAATGAGCGATATCTTACTCGAGTATACACTCAACACGAATTCAACAACAGAAAGGCTTTTGTCATCGGAAGCTCGACTGAATCCTCTCTTATGATCAGATATTGATACAGTAGGGCCTCGATAATCCGAACCCAAGCTAGTCCGAACGCCTCTATAATCCGAACGACCCCCTCCCCCGCGCATCTGACGTTCCTTAGTAACTCGCTATGACACGTGCATATTTTAGTGCCGAGTTAAACTTTTTGGACGCTATACATATTGTTCTTGACCGCTCCGCGCGCTATTCCGCCATTTTGTTGTGTATTTGACATGGCTTCAACATCAAAGAAAAGAAAACATGTGACGCTTACAATTTCACAGAAGTGCGAGATTTTGGACAAGATCAAGGAAGGCGTCTCATTAACATTTCTTGCGCAGCAATACAACGTTGGAAAATCGACTATTACAGACATCAAAAGTAAGGAGACAAAAATAAGGTCATTTGTAATAAATACAGAAAAGGGTCCGGGTGCAAGAAAAACATTAAAATCTCCGGAAAATCCTCAGCTCGAGGATGCGTTATTTACATGGTTCTTAGAGCAGCGAAGAAAAAATGTCCCTTTGACAGGTGAAATCCTAATGGAAAAAGCAATTTTTTTCCACGAAAGACTTGGAAGAGGAGCCTTTGTTGCTAGCAGAGGATGGTTGGACAATTTTAAGAAAAGACATGGTATACGACAGCTTAAAGTAACCGGTGAAAAATTGACAAACAACGAAGCGGCAGTGCAGCCATTCCAGGAGAAGTTCTTAGAAGTTATAAGGGAAAAGGATTTGTCTGCTGACCAAATCTATAACGCTGATGAGTCAGGCTTGTACTGGAAAACCATACCAGACAAAACCCTAGCGGCTGGATCGGAAACTAGTGCCCCAGGTGGCAAAATATCAAAGGAGAGGATTACATTTATGCCATGCGCGAACGCAAGCGGAACGCACAAGCTGCCCTTGCTTGTTGTAGGGAAAGCACAGAAACCACGTGCTTTTTCAACAGTCAAAAAGTTACCAGTTCGTTACACAGGACAGAGAAATGCTTGGGTCACAAAACTAATATTTTTAGAGTGGCTGAAGGAACATTTTGTTCCCGAAGTAAAGAAATTTTTGTCAAAAAAGAACTTACCACTAAAAGGACTTTTATTGCTTGATAATGCACCAGCTTATCCACTTGAAGAAGATCTGCAGTTTGCAATTGACGAAAATTTCACTGTTATGTACATGCCACCCAATTGCACAGCCCTCATACAACCCATGGACCAAAATGAAATTCAGAACATTAAAATAAATTACAAGAAAAAACTTCTGTTGCAAGTTTTTGGCCAGCAAGAAGCAGATCCAGAATGCACAGTATCTGAAGTCCTTAAAAAAACTACAATGAAAGATGCTGTATGTTCACTTGCTCAGTGTTGGCATTAATTGTCTCCACATCTTATTAAAAAATCCTGGAAACCTTTATGGCCCTTGTTATTCGAATCGGAGGACATTTCTAGCCAAGAAGAGGGAGATTTTGATCCTGAAGATGACTTACCATTAAGCATTTTTCATAACAGAGGCTTCTCAGAATCAGACATTAATAATTTCTTGGTAAACAATGATGATATTGATTGTCAAGAGCCCTTGACTGATGAGGACATAGTGAGACAAATAACAAATGAGCATGACAGCGAAAATGATGAAGAGTTGGAAGCATCTGAACCAGCGGCAAAGGTTTCACATGCTCAAGTTGTGTCTGCCTTAAACACCTGCTTAGAATGGGCAGATGAAATCGACATATCAGAAAAAATGCTTTTGCGTAAATTAAGGGATAAAGCGTTTACAATGTCGCTAAAAACTAGCCGTCAAAGCACTTTATTAGAATTCTTTAAAAAAGTATAAACATAATGTAGGTATCTAAGTACATACATATGTATATGTAATAGCGTCATCATTCAACGGTTTTAAGTGATTAAAATATATTTTCTATAATAAACAGTATTGTTTTATTGCTAGATATACCTTTTAAAATGTATACATACTATAATCCGAACGCTGCGTGCATCCGAACAGGGTGTAAATTTTGGGTGTTCGGATCATCGAGGCCCTACTGTATGTCAAGAAGTAGTACATCAAGCCTACAAACATCAACAAATGGCTTAAATCGTCTTCTTAATGGACAATATGCAACAAAACATCAAACTGAAACGACTTCGTCTGTTCATCATCGCGCTCAAGCATATCTGAGCCATGGCGTATCTTCAACGAATGTAGCATCGAGACCGACTGCTCCGGCGTCGTATCCAACGTATCAACTAGGGATGCCACGAATAGCGATTGTCCAATACTGGAAATGTGATGGATTCTATCCAGTCATCATCCAATGAGCGATATCTTACTCGAGTATACACTCAACACGAATTCAATAACAGAAAGGCTTTTGTCATCGGAAGCTCGACTGAATCCTCTCTTATGATCAGATATCGATATGTCAAGAAGTAGTACATCAAGCCTACAAACATCAACAAATGGCTTAAATCGTCTTCTTAATGGACAATATGCAACAAAACATCAAACTGAAACGACTTCGTCTGTTCATCATCTACAAACATCAACAAATGGCTTAAATCGTCTTTGTCTGTTCATCATCGCGCTCAAGCATATCTGAGCCATGGCGTATCTTCAACGAATGTGGCATCGACACCGACTGCTCCGGCGTCGTATCCAACGTATCAACTAGGGATGCCACGAATAGCGATTGTCCAATACTGGAAATGTGATGGATTCTATCCAGTCATCATCCAATGAGGTAATTTTTCTCAAGTATACACTCAACACGAATTCAACAACAGAAAGGCTTTAGTCATCGGAAGCTCGACTGAATCCTTTCTTATGATCAGATATTGATATATCAAGAAGTAGTACATAAAGCCTACAAACATCAACAAATGGCTTAAATCGTCTTCTTAATGGACAATATGCAACAAAACATCAAACTGAAACGACTTCGTCTGTTCATCATCGCGCTCAAGCATATCTGAGCCATGGCGTATCTTCAACGAATGTAGCATCGAGACCGACTGCTCCGGCGTCGTATCCAACGTATCAACTAGGGATGCCACGAATAGCGATTGTCCAATACTGGAAATGTGATGGATTCTATCCAGTCATCATCCAATGAGCGATATCTTACTCGAGTATACACTCAACACGAATTCAATAACAGAAAGGCTTTTGTCATCGGAAGCTCGACTGAATCCTCTCTTATGATCAGATATCGATATGTCAAGAAGTAGTACATCAAGCCTACAAACATCAACAAATGGCTTAAATCGTCTTCTTAATGGACAATATGCAACAAAACATCAAACTGAAACGACTTCGTCTGTTCATCATCTACAAACATCAACAAATGGCTTAAATCGTCTTTGTCTGTTCATCATCGCGCTCAAGCATATCTGAGCCATGGCGTATCCAACGTATCAACTAGGGATGCCTCGAATAGTGAATTGGTCGAATACCGAATATTCGGCAACGCTGTCGGTCGAAGCGCCGTATATTCGGCACGAAATACATACTTTTCGGGGGAGCGGTAGCTGGATTAAGACAAGTCGCAACCTGTTTTCCTCGTTGCGTTGGCGCAGCATGCGACGACGGCGCGCGCACGGGGCTGTGTTGTGCAAGCAAACACAACACAGCGCGGGCGAGTATTTGTTTCAATTGCGAGTAAATCACGTCACGGAACGCTTTGTCGGTATATAAATAATACATAAAGTAAAACTTAATTACTATTTTGCTAAGAAGTTTGTTCATTTTCAATTGTTTGTTCTTTAAAAGGCTTATAAAATGACTCCAGTTAATAAAAAATCGCCCGCCCATATGGGAATATTATGAGATTTGTAGTGAAAATAATAAACTGGCCCAGTGTTTGCTATGTAGCATCAAAATCTCAAGAGACGGAGAAAGAAAGCAAGTAAGTAAAACCTTAACTTAATTAAATAGTTTTATTCACTTAATACATTTACGTCGGTAGGTGGTTATCTGGTTATGTCTTAAACTACTTACTTACTTGTTGTTGTACTGTATCTACTTGTGTAGATACTTACAAAAGAAAGGAGATCGATTTTTTATTGCCCAAGTCTGATTTCGGAATAAAGTTTTATGAGAAATTATTTATTTATATTTATTCGATTTTCTATAAGATACACAAGGGAAATAAAATAACTAATAATTTTAGTTTTTTTTTATTCACAGCTACAACCTCTTTAACCCGGCGTTATTGAGGTTAGGTCAAAATGACCCGGCTTGTTTATAAGTTACAATATTTTTGTAAGTACGGGCGCGACGTTGCCGTTCTTCTCAGTAGCTGGAGCCTATACTGTACTCAAAACGTTTTTGATGCGATATCAGTTTGGCGGCAACAGCGCTAAGAGCTACACGCGTGCAATTTCCAAAAAGGTAAATATGACCCATCCTCACAATTGACGTAACAATTATGCGCCCTTTTTTAACTAAGCAATTTTACTGTTGTTTATTAATTCTTGGTGTAACGTAAGCATTTTTTTTTTACTTTGAATTTAGTTGTTTTTTTTTGTCTATAGGTACTATAAAATACTATGAACCGAGAGGAGAGAGAAAATCAACGTATTATTGCGATGTTAGAGGAGTCTAATTCGGAGGACGACTTACCTGATAGTTACGATGAAGTGGAAGATGAGGATCATGTTAGTGTACGCAGTATACCAAGTGATACAGAGCAAGAATGTTCGGACCACAGTTTGGATATTAGTGACGACGATATCCCGCTCTCCAGAATAAGAGAAACGCAATCCACCACAAACCGTGCGCCGTCGCCGCAACAAGACCATCCACGATATCATGGTAAAGATGGCACAGTACGGCTAAAGACACCTTTTCGACAAAATGTTAGAACTAGGGCAGAAAATATAATTACTCAATTGCCAGGTGTAATACAGGAAGCAAATTCAGCTACTTCCGAGTTGGAATGCTGGGACTTGTTTTTCAATAATGAGATGTTGCAGAACATTTTGAGATACACTAATGTACGTTTCAAACAAAATTAAAAAAACAAATCCCTCCTGCATTCACAAAAACTCAAGGCGTTGACGTGTTTTCATCTCGATTTGGTTTCCAAAAAGATATTACTCTTGTATCTCATGTACCGAAAAAAAAATAAGGTGGTATTGCTGATGTCAAGTCGTCACCATGATAATAAAATTGATGATACAAGCGGAGAAAAGTGAAAACCCGAAATCGACACCTATTATAATAAAGCGAAATGTGGGGTTGATGTCGCTGATGAACTTTGCGCCACATATGATGCGAGTCGTAACTCCCAAAGGTGGCCCCTGACAATTTTTTATGCTATGTTGAATATGTCTGTAATTAATGGGCTAATAATACATCGCATAAACAATAACAAACCAAGCGAGAAGCGGCGTTTTTTTTTTGGTTTAGTCGACAATTGTCAGATTCTATAAATGTCAGATGAGTTTTAAATGCCAGTTTCTATGATTGCCGGATTCTACAAATGACAGATTCTAGAAACGCCAGTTTCTAATAATGCCAAATTCTATTAATGTTAGAATTCGTATCAGTGGCAATAGTATCCAGCACCTTAACTGTACCTACCTTAACACATTTGTAAAATTATTTTCTTTATATATATGCGGGTAGTTTGATTACGACGACTAGTAATATGGTAGATCTTTATTATTTACCGGGTAACTGTGAGTTATTTTGTTTCTTGTATCGAATAATATTATAAAAAGTACTTATTAACTATTAAATATGGCAAGTGAGTTCATCATTGACAAGAATCAAAAAGGTAATGATACACTTTTACATGATGGGTTTCGCTATGTACGGTTTCCACAGTCTTTTATGATATTGATAGTGATAGTGATAAATGAAAGTAATTGATTAATTTGGAAACAATTATATTGATATAAAAATAATGAGATGAGTACGCGCGATTGATATGATATTCGAACACGAACTGATTTAAATAATTTTTATGGCGTAAAATGATGATGCGGCAAATGTACGCGCTTGCTCGTACACGCTATAATAAAATTAAAACTAACAAAACTGGGAACATCAACTGGCGTTGTGTTAATAGAAAAAATTGCAATACATCGATTACACTGGATGCAGATCGCCAAAATATTTTAAGAAGACCACAACACACTTGCCAACCTGACTTAATGAAAAATGAGATTCTTTTGAAGATCAATAGGCTCAAAAAAGAAGTGTGTGTTAATTTGGTACCAATTAATCCCTTATTTGAAAAAGAGTTTCAAGACAAGATCAGACAAAGTACATCAGCAAGCCGGTCATGTATTCCGAATTTTTTTGACAAGAAAGATTGCCTTTATAACGGAAGAAAAAGATTTTTAAATGCTGAAAAACTGGAAATTAACAAATTAGAGGACGTTTCTGTGCTCACTGGATTATCTAAAAAATTTCTGGTAATAGAAGATGATAGTACTGACAAAATTTTAGTCTTTTCATCGGTATTGTCCAAGAAAACAATGCGCAAGTACAAAAAAGGGTTTTATGCTGATGGTACTTTTAAGTGTGCGCCTTGACCATTTTATCAGTTACTCTCGCTTCATTTAGATATAGATTCAGACGACAACTCTACAAATATAATACCAGTTTTATACGCGCTCTTACCCGATAAAATGCAACTACGTAATACGTAACAAAACGTATACCAGGACTATTCACGCTAATTAGAGATGTTCTACATATAAAAATATCAACTTTTAAATGTGATTATGAAATCGCTATTATGAACGCTGTGAGAGATGTGTTTCCAGAGGCAAATATTAGTGGATGTTATTTTCATTATCAAAAAGCGATTAAAAAAAAAAGGCCAAAGAGTTTAAACTTACTCAATCACGCGCTCAAAGGAAAATAGTCCGCATGGTCTCTATTCTTCCGTTATTGCCACCTCGTCATATCCCAGAAGGATGGCATATAGTTTTAGAAGAAATTGAAGAGGGTTCTCGTCGAAGTATGGATCGATTTCAAGTATATTTTCAAAATCAATGGTACCCACGACTACATCCACGGCTTCTGAGTTGTGCCGGACAGCGCCATCGGACTACTAATGCAGTGGAGGGGTGGCATCACCGCATGAATGTCCTGATGTCAAAAAAACCAAGTCTATTCCTTTTTATTCAGAAACTTCGTAAAGAAGCAAAGCATTTTGATTTAAAAATAAAAAGCAGCTTATTCCAATCCCAAAGGAAAAATCGAAAAAATAAATATATATTATTTGACCAAAAGCACAAACGATTGTTAAAACAGTTAGAAAGAGGTAAGAAAGAAGAGTTTGAATATTGACACACCTCAACGT